TTCTATAACAAAGTCTAATGTATTTCAATGGGAAAACCTCTTTTTTTGTAAACTCAAATGGCGCAGTTACCATGGTAGATTTCTACACCAAATAAATTTTTTTTACAAACCAAGAAGTTGGGGCTATAAAACAGTGAAGAGAGGATTAGGATTGGATTATCCGTTTTAGCGTAGGAAATTTCTTACCCATAAAGTTAACTAATTCCACGATTGTATAATGAATGCACCAATCGCTCCATTAATCCAAATATTAAAAATAAATTTTAAATTTTTGAACGATAATTCAAAATAGTCCCAAGTATTATCTTGATGAACATGTGCCATATTATTTTTGGAATATTTTCTCGTCCAGTAATCCATAAGATTAGCCTCGCGTATCCGGGATAAACTAATATAAAATAAAATATTAATTTACTGTAAAAAATTAATAAACATAACCAGGTCATACATTTTGTTAAAAATATCCAAATATGGTGAATTTTTAACTAATCCCATAGCACCAAATCTTAATGCTAAATTTGCATCATTACCATTATTTGTTACATAATATCCATTTATATTGTGTTTGTGTATAAAATCAATAAGTATGTCGCTTTCATCAAGTACAGTGCATTTATAATCAGTACGTTTTAAATGGTCAATTAATGATTTCTCGTCAACAGCATGGTAGTTTATAAACCTATTTCCATATCGTTCGTTAATTTTATCCTGTGTAATTTTAAAATATATAATCAATTATAAGTAGTGCATTGCCTCCAGTCCAATTCACCTATTAACAATTTATTTGGTAAAAATTACCGTAAACTATTATAAATACTCTAGTACAATACAATTTAAAAATATTCGTTAGAAATAATTAAATTAAAAACACTTGCGCTTACAATCTAATATAAGCATAATTAAAATACTTTAGAAATAAAAACAATTTGGAATTAGGTAAATTGTAATGATGAAAATATTATATAAATAAAATATGATTTAATTTAACTTACTAGAATATAGTTTTGGACTGACTTATTTATAACAAAAATCTTAATGTTACCATTAATTTCATTTGCAAACAATTGGTCTAATGTCTCGATTCTATGTTCAATGGGAATACGAATTAATGCATATATGCACCCCGAATAGCTTGCACCTAATATTGTAACCAGTAGCATCCAGGTACACATTAATAATTTATTTATTTGAGTTATACGTGTGGTGCCATTTTGCCGTAAAAATATAAACAACACATACCAACATAAATTAAATGTTTTAGTTGTTTTACTCTTTGTATTAAGAATTATTAATCCTATCATTAATAATGTGATTATAATTGATATCCAAATGTATGTATCGAAAGGTTGTAATAAATTGACGAAATATATTATCATAGGCATTGGAGACATTAATTTAATATATACAAAATTATATGGGTAACTATAATCAATGACATTTTGTCTGTCATTTGTCATTAATAACGTAGGTGTGATATCAGCCCTCTAAAGCATACAGATAACGATTTAAATGTTTTTCAGCGATGTAATATAACTTGATTTAAATAAACATTATAAATAAAAAAAACTATAAATTACATTAATATTTGTGTATATTAGATAGCTTTGCACGGATAATCCGATTATAATACAATGGAATACATTTTAAATTATTGTTAAAATTGTTAGCAAATAATTCAAATAAAACTAGTTATCCTAAATATTTCATAAAATTCATTTTATACTTAATATCTTTTAAACTACCTAAAATATATATCAATTCATTTGAAACACAATCACTTTAATTTATTTTATGAGAATAATCATTTGCCACAAATTTAACTAGGTTATACCTTTGACTGAAGCATACCGATAATCCCATTCCACGTATTATTGATTGGATTTACGCCTCAAACCCCGTTATTGTTGATCACATCGTATGTTATATTGTAATACTCGGCAATTGTCGTGAAAAACATTCCGTTTATACCACCAATCAATTCAAAACCTTTTGTTGAATTATTGTAATTCAAGATAATATACGGAGGTAGCTAGTAAATTTATATTATCAATTAATTTTATTCAATTATGGCATTTATATCATATTAAATAATTATATTACATATATTTTTATTGTGTTCATATTTACATGATTGACGGCTAATTTTAAATGTATCCCGTTTAATTCTGACATTTAATCAATGTAAAACCTTATAGGAATGTAAAAATGTTTTAAAATTAGTACACATATCAGTAATCCTTTAAAAGTTCAGTTTAAAAGGATTGAAAATAAATATTTCCGAAACTTATATATTGCCGGAAATAAGATGAGTATAGATAACAAGTTTTGAAAGTTGTAATAAAACGTATAGATATATGAATACATAATTATTAAAATGAGAATTTAATTATATGTCACATTATGAATTATTTTCGCCATTGTAATTAATTATTGTATTTCTATTAATATTGAAAGTCATTTCTAGATACATTCACTTGTATACATTAAAATTATAGATAAATAATGTAGTTTATCTACAAATTATTTAAATATGCAATAATTTAATTTAGAACTTTTGTTAATTTAATCAATAATTAATTATAACAAGATTTTTTATTGCTTATTATTTAATAGTAAATAATATGAATTTTATCAGTACCAAATAATTAATAATTTATTTGATTCTTTATAAAAGTGCACTCAAATAATAATTTATTATAAGTAAAAATAAAAATAATTAAATACTTTGATCATGTTTACAGTACATATAAACTATTTATTAAAAATAGTAAAAATTAATAAATACTCAATTATACAAGAAATAAATATAATTAAAAGTGCACATGTTAAGGTATAAAAAACATTTTTAATTTTACTTTATCGAACTTTCCCTAAAAGATTAAAGATTAAAGATTTAAACAATTTTTTGAGACTCATATCAGATATTACATTTAAATATAGATGAAATTTTTTAATTAAAAATATAACAATTGTACAAAATACAATGCTGTTAACAAAATATTTTCAAATATCTAGAACATATCTCTCAACCTGGTGCACAAAACATAAAATATGTTATTAAACAAATATTTTTTAAAATTTAAACTTGTGTCTCAACATGTTCTCTATGATTATCATTGTTATCATTTTTATCATTGTCACCTTGATTACTTTTATCTTGACCATCATTGCTTGACTTAATTACAACTTTACTTTTCCTTACGGTAATCATCCATACAATGACTGATATAACTATAATACCGACAATCGTAAGCATCGGTAGTGCATAAATGGGCGATTGTGGCAGTCCTTAGGGACGTTCACAAAATACATAAAATTACTTCAAACTTACATACAGTAAACAAATCTATGCCATACCTGAAGTAAAATCAATTTCTCGACATATGGTTGCCTCGACGTCCCAACTCGAGTTGTGTAGACACGTACGCACTGAATGGACCTCAAACTCGTAGCCGGGCTTACACTCAAACTCAACGGTCGTGCCGTCGATGGCATA